GTGTGTGCCTGTTACCCGTCTGCAGTGCCCTGGGGGTGTCTTGTGATAGAGCCGTCCTGCCAATCCCCTGACTGTCAGAAAGTCTATATTATGAGGTCTGGGCCTGAATCCCTAGAAAACAAAATACATTTTAGGAGGAAAGGTCTCTCATACTGGATTTAAACGTGTGCTTTGTAATGTGGTATAAAAAAATGATACAAATTACCCAAAGTTCAATTTTTGTTTTGCTTGTTAAGAGATAATTTACTATATAATTATGTCATTTACACACTTTACTGCCTACATAAAGAAGACTAAAATTCAGAAATTGAATCTTGAACTTTGTATCCCTTACTTAGAGAAAAGAGTGTGGCCTGAAAGTACCAGTAATAGTCTAAAAAAGATCTATGAATAATATTTCATCCGTTCTGCTAATGGGTTCTTGTGTTTTGGATGAGTAATGGAAAAAAATCTTTCAGAGGAAAATCACTGTGACTATAAATATGTTTTTTATTTCTTAAGAAGCAGGTCGCGTTGTGCAGCTTTGGTTACTGATGTGATGTATTTGCTGCCCTGGCCTATTTCATAGCATGAGCAAATGGTGACTTCTGCCCTCACCACACAAATGTTTTTGTTTGCAGAGTCCTGCAGTTGATGAACTTGACAGACTCTCGTCTTGCTCAAGCAGGAAATGAAAAGCTGGAACTGGCCATGCTCAGCTTCTTCGAGCAGTTCCGGAAGATCTACATTGGAGACCAGGTGCAGAAATCCTCTAAGGTAATTCAGGGGCCACTGTAGCGTAAGCAGAGTATTGTGAGTCCTTAAGGCACAGAACGTGGCTCAGAAACTGAACTTAATTGCCTGCGAAGCAAAAATTCCTAAATCGGAACTTTTAGACCCCAGCATGACAGACGGGCTTGAGTCCGGCTCTGAATGTTTGCTCGTCTGTTGTGAATTTCTACATTTCAAAGATGTATAAAACGGAACATTTTGTGACTTTTTTTGCAGAAAAAAACTGCCTTTTTTATACAGAAATTGTATGGAGCCAGATCTCAAAATATTGCATTTTTAGCAGTCACTAAACGTCTTTCGCTCGTAAGCGTGAAAGTATTGCATGCTCTTTTGTTTTGGATCCTGAAATCTGATGCCCATCTCTGTGCGGATTCGTTTTTAACCGGCCTCTGCTCCAGTATCACTGCTGCAATACTTCCTGTTGAAGAGTTTGATTGGAAGCTATATATAGAACCTCATGGTTATCATATAGACTAACAGATATCTGAACAAGATTTGTTAGAATGTTGCACAGGTTTTGCCAAAGCAAGACTGTTGTATATTTTTGGGTTTCGGTGTTTTCAGTGCTGCTGTTGATTTGCGTGCAGGCGAAACCTGCGGTGCATGTTTTAAAAGAAGTCCAAAACAAAACTTCAACATGCATGCGCTAATATTGCTATCATTTTTTTTATCAATAAATTGCAAAATGGTGTTGCACATGTGGCAATGGGGAAGTGTTGTTTCCTTTTAAAACTCGAATTGGAATGTTTTTGCTTAAGTCTGCAAGCTTTATTTATTGTGCTGCGTGTCCCCTGAAAAGCTCAGCCTGAGTTTAATTGGACTTTTCCTTTGTGCTTGTGCAGAGCCCTTGAAAGTGTGAACACGCAAGATAAGTGTTTCGTAGTATTTGGTGTAGCTTAGCGGCTCTGTCTCCCTCCACTTGTGGCAGTCCTGTGGGTCTTAGCTTTCTCCATGCCGTAACCTCCAGAGTGCCGCCTTCCTCAGTAGCCTCTTTAGCAACATTGCCATCAGTAGCTGGCTTTCGAGGTGCTTGGAAAGAAAAGGCCACATGCAAAGCAATGCTAATCCCCTTTGCATTGCTGTACAGCCCCACATGGTCAAAGTCAAGGGTGCAGCATGACACACGAGCCTGTGAAGAAACAAGGATTAAAAGAGTCCTAAAACATTTCCCTCTCCCGTAGCATTCTGATTGGATGAAGATCTAATTATAATTTGTACCCATAGTTCGTTACAACCAGTGGCATCTGGCCAGTGGTGTGCTTCCATTTTCTGTTTCACTTGTTTGCTTTTCTGCCTTGTCAAGTGATGCATGCCAACCAGGGCATCTGCCAAAACCCGACAGGGAACTGACATGCGAGCAGATGCTTGCATGCATCACACTTGCCCTCCTTTCTGAGAAGTTCGTCTCGGGGTTCTGTTACTTTGATACCTTCATTAAGGCTATCGCTATGCATGAGTTCCCTAAGGAAGCAGCAGGTCTGGGAATAAAATATCTGCTGCGCTGTAATTGAGTCGCCAATATGACATCACAGACAGATGTTCAGCTGGGAAAGACTCCCTCGAGGTTTTAGAGGGGGGATCATTGGCATAGCTGGGGAAACCGTATAAGAATATGGCTTCACTGCAGAGACAGGTGCAAGCAAATTGTGAAAGACCTTGTAGCTGTTTTCATGAACCTCATCTGCTGCTTCCTAAGGCTACAGAGCCAGATTCCCTCGTGCCAGCAGGGAGGGTAGGGGGACCAGCCACTCCTGCTCTCTCTTTGAGGTGAAGCCAGGCTGGCTGTTACGGGCCAGGAACTTCAACTGAGCCGCAGAGAAATTCTCAGGGGTTGCTGGACCTGGGCAGCACGGCACTGGCACTGCAGTAGGTTACTGGCACCTACAAACTCTCTGCAGCTGAATGATTCCTACAACTGAACGTTTCAGCTGAGGAGTGCAGTTCCCCTGACATTTAGAATCAAACTGAAATGATCTCCTGCCTGACAACGACACACTTCACAAGTGTGCACATCACACAAGTGCTGCCAACGCAAGCCTGCTGTGCATTACTCTGCTCGGTGCTCTCAGTGCTGCTGTTAATTTGTGTTTGCGAGGGGGCGTTATCTGGAGATACTGCATTTAACAGCCAGTGAAATCGTTTTTGTTTTTTTGCATGGTGGTGCCATCATAACTGCCTTTATAATTTTTCTGACGTAAAGGGACAATGAGAGTCCTAGCTATGGAAATATTTATTTAAGCAGATGCATGTACTTTAAGAAGCAAATTTGGGGATTTTAATGAATAGTTGTAATTCCGATTCTGACTCTCAAGATGACCCCTGATCTGTGTTTATCTAACCTCCTTTCACTTGGTTTTATTGGGCAGGACAGAAAGGCAGAGTTTCTCTGGGCCGACCTGTTCTGTACTGTTATTGGTGCAGCTCAGGAACAGCCAGGCCAGAGGGAAGGGCACTGCAGTGCCAGTCCACGCACACTGGAGGGGAATTTCCACCAGTGCCAGACGAAGCCGGTGGGAGTCAGGCTTTAGTGCCCACATAACAGCCCTAGTGCCCTCCTCTCACCTTGCAGGAGCCTCTTTCCCTCTCCTCAACCAAACTGGGTTCAGTCCAGTCTGAGGGGCTGCCTCCTGGGGGTGACCAGGCGTACTGATGTGGGTGAAGGGTGGCTGTGGATCTGTGTTCGGTTTCTAGCTGTGGAGCATTGAAAGATCAGGATGGCTTCATCCACCCTGTGATCTCACTGCTGGCCCAGGCTCAGATGTGCATTTCAGAAGCTTTCGCTGAAATAAAGCTTGTGCTGACTTTCACCATGCTGCATTTGTAAACCTGTGGAAGGACCTGGAGGTGAATCAGTAGGGGAGAAAGCTGGAGAACTGGGCTTCAGGTTAATGGGGGTCTATGGACATGTTTTTTTTTTTTTCGGCGTTTGATCAGAAATGCTCTGTGGTCGGTAATTCACCACAGTCAAATGATTGAGTTTTCTGACCAGCATGAAGGGTTAACCACCAGCCCAGCCTTTTTTGATTTTATTTTAAACCCTTTTTGCATAAAACCTGTGTCTAGTCATCTGTTAACTGACAGCCCCCGTGTGCAGCGTTGACCGAAGAAGAAAATTGATTTGTTATTAATCTGGGGAAATGGGTAAGGCTCCTCTTTGCAAGCTGTTGTGTTGCATTTTAGGGATTAGAAGCCACAGCCTCATTAATGCCGACTGTACAGAAACAACATGCTTGATGTCAGTTCTATATGTCCTGTAAAATTTGGTAACCGGATTGCAGCGTCCAAAACTGCATCCTCTGTCAGCTAGACAAGAGCCTGCAGGTCGTAAAAACTGAAATCCCACTGACAGTCGGGAGTCTCGTTTCCCTGTAAACTACGCTCATTTGACCATTCCGGAAATTGAGCCGTCAGATGAGCTACATCTAAGGGACTGTAATTGGCAACAGCTGAACGGTGTCTGGAATGAGCCGAGTGTGTGTGGTCAGCCCTTCGTGCTGTAGACGTCATTCATGCCACTTTGGCCAGTGCACTTGTATGAAACAGGGAACGCTCTGCAGTTCCCTTTTGACTTCCTTCGCTTTTGGCCTTTGCGTCCCCTAAAACAGTCACCAAGCATCAGAAAGCACCAGCTGCCCCCTTCTAAGAGATCTGGAGTCTTTATGGGCTTGTAAATTTTTGTGATTGAAACGCACAGATGGATAGACATTGGCTGAGAGTTTTGTTGTTGTGTTTTGGCCTTTAAAGAGGAATACAGTGCTTTCCTGACCGCCTTTCTAGCATTTGGCAATTTCTTTTTGTTCTTATTTGAGTCTTTGTTGTTTTTTCTGCAGCTGTATCGGCGTCTGTCGGAAGTTCTGGGGCTGAACGATGAGACCATGGTGCTCAGTGTGTTCATTGGGAAAATGTACGTCGGATTTAACCTTTCAGGCAGGCAAGCTGCAGTCCAGTGAAGGCTTGCTTTTCTTAACATTAGCCAGAAGCTCTTCTTATACTACAACTAGCTTTGTCAGTTTCTGATGTTTTTCGTATTTATTTGCTTCCTTTAAAACTTGCATGGAGTAGGCTTTGTTGTCTTTATGAAGGCCAGCGAAAGCAGCTGACCATGCAAGGGGTTTATGTTTTTTTTTTGCCATCAAATTGAAATGAATTCTTTGTCTTGTGCTCATGATTTGTTAATGCAAAACGTATGGAAGCTAACTGAGACTGTTTTCTCTGGCTGATGAAGAATCACCAATCTGAAATACTGGGGAAGATGTGAGCCGATCACCTCCAAGACGCTTCAGCTTCTCAACGACTTGTCCATTGGATATCCTTTGATGCAAACGAACTGTGGTGTCGTGTCTTTCTTCTTGTCTTGGGTGTGTTACTACAAGTTGTCCCTCTCACACAGGTTTATTTGACTGGAACAGGCAGCTGTCCCACAGGCCAGGATTGCTGATCTGATATGTGCAGGGTGCAGGCTCATGGCTGCCATGTGTTTAAAGCAAACAGTCAGAGTACTGGCCATCACTTCCAAAACACGCAGAGACCCTTTCAGATCTCTGCTTCTGGTTGTTTGTACCCAGTCTCCCCAAGCCTTGAGGAACTGTTTTTAAAAAGGCTTGACTGGACAGGTGCACTAGCATGGAAATGTCCCCTGCATTTGAACAACAGAGTGTAAAACCTAGCACATGATAAGGAATATATCCTAAATGAAATATGGGGAAGAAGTGCAAATAAGAGCTCTGTTGAGTATAGTTCTCTCACATGCAGGCCAGACGCTTTGAGGCTAATTTCTAGCGTGAAGAATTGAAGAGGGGAAACTCTAAATTTGACGTCTGGTGTTCTTTAACATTCAGTTTTGTTTGCCTGTGTCTCTTTAATTGTGTTGAGAAGGTTTCGCTTGTGTAGTAGAAAGTGAGCCAGCCCGTTGTGGCCGCACCCAGGCCTGGCATGTCACGAGCGTGTGTGTCCTTGACTCTCTGTGCACCTACAGCAGCGTCAGGAAGCTGGTGAAACTCAGCGCGGTTCAGTTCATGCTGAACAACCACACAGTAAGTACCGTCCTGCTGGCCACCACTTCCTCATTCTTTTTGTGTTGCTTTGATGCATTTCATTTTCTGTTTTTTGTTTACATGGATGTAGATGAAATAGCTTAACACATGGGGGTATGGGGTATTCATGGGGTAAAGACTGTTGTGGTACAATCTTGCCTTAGCACAACAGCCAGCAGTTATTTGTGGTGCTGGAAGTTTTGTAGCGTTCCTTCAGTGTCCTGTTGTGCTTGCCTTCTTGTGTCTGAAAGTAGAGTGGCCGGATCAAAGGCTCTGATCGTGTTAAACTGTAGTCTGCCTTCTTAGCAGCTTCCTTTCGGATAGACACCACGGTCCTTTAGCAGTGATAAATCCCCAGGAACATGACACTGTCCCGCTTCTCCTGACAGAGTGAGCACTTTTCATTCCTGGGCATTAACAATCAGTCAAACCTCACTGACATGAGGTGTCGGACCACATTCTACACCGCGCTGGGGCGCCTCCTCATGGTCGACCTGGGTAAGAACCTTAGAGAGTGTTGGGGAGTGGGGGGGGTGGGGAGTTTAGTGTGTTTCTTCATTCATCAATGTTATGTGTAAGTGGTGTAGTTTGAACAGCATGTTTTCAGAAATGAGTTTAGTTCAGCCTGACCCATCTCTTTCGCTGCTTCGGTCAAGTCTGAAGATATGGTATTAGGACGCACCGATATTCTCCTGTGTGGAATCTTAATGTCCTGCTTCTGCGGGATATTGTATAGCTAGCACCTGTTGGAGAAATGTTTCCCGCTTCCCCTTAAAAGTCAGTCAGGAGTCCATCTCAGAAGTTAAAAGAAGTTTTTATTTAATGCGCATGGGAACGAAATGCACAGATATGCTTAGTGTATTTTTCTAAAAAATAATTAAACTAGAAGAGTCCTTAAATATTTTCCTGTTATCTGTCATGGTTCCCATCATGCACATCTTTCTGCTTCCCTACTTACTAAAGATAACTTCTTTTAATAAAATTGGTTACTTAGGTTCGTAGCAGACATTCCTATAAAACAGCATAGAATTACACAGTAGCCCTTGTGTCCAGCATTCTTCCAATCCAGTTCAAACCAGTTCTGAATGGCCACCTTATAAAATATTGCACCTTGCGCAGAAAAAGTGTGTACAAAGTTCATAGAGACCCTCTCAACGTACTGATGAGCTTATGTGAGCCTGGGTTCACGATAGTTTACTTCTGTCCATTTGTGCAGTTAGCGAGAGAGGGATGCCCTGAGGAATATGGATAAATACACAAACCTATGTGAGATACATATGAAGAGCGTACATTTTGGATGCTTAGTGTTAATTAAATCTGTAGGGTAACATTTGTGTTGCGTTGGCGTTGTCCACTCATGCCGTCTCGCTCTCCCTGTGTCCCTGCAGGTGAAGATGAGGACCAGTTCGAGCAGTTCATGTTGCCGCTGACTGCTGCGTTCGAGGCAGTGGCGCAGATGTTCAGCACCAACACCTTCAACGAGCAGGAAGCCAAGGTGAGGCAGATGGTGGTATTCTCGGGCAGGGGCAGGTCGGGATGTTTTTGTTTGAAGAAATCAAACACATCCGTTTGATCTATTTTGTTTCCAGAGAACGTTGGTTGGCCTGGTGAGGGATTTAAGAGGCATCGCCTTTGCTTTCAATGCCAAGACCAGCTTCATGATGCTCTTCGACTGGATGTATCCTCCACAGTTCTTTCCCCTGACCTGTCAGACAGGGGAAATGCAGAACAGGGTCCTTGGAGCCAGCACTGGGACAGCTGGAAAATCTTTTTGCCTCATTAACCCACAAAAATAACCCTAGAGACTACTTCAATCAGATCTTTTTTAACAAAGTTTATATATACATGCTGAGAATCACTGTTGGAGCCAATAGCATTTTTCTTTTTTACTCATGTGCTCATTTACCTATATGCATCTCTATCTATAATGAAATGGTTTATTTACAATATAAGCAGATATCTGAGCACCAGATAAAACCCCCTCTGATGTGTTCTAGTGTCCAAAATACGTTTGTTATCAAAATGTGTGAGCAGCATGTTTTTCTCCTGTACAGTCGCTCTTTTCCTCAGCTTTCGCCGTGCAGTTACCCCTCCTACATGCCGATCCTGCAGCGAGCAATCGAGCTGTGGTACCACGACCCTGCTTGCACTACCCCTGTACTCAAGCTGATGGCAGAGCTTGTCCACAACAGGTACGCGTCTTGCAGCAGGGCACAGGTGCGGCTGGGCTTCAGACTCCAGATGTGACAAAGGTTCACCGTCATCATGAACTCACCTGCGTCGCCTGTCTGGTCCATTCAATCTCACTGCACCTGCTCCAGAACAGACTGTCATTCACCTGATAACAACTGGGTTCATGTGTTGAAGTTATAAGAGGATTTTGTTTTGATGTTCAGAATATAAAAATTCCATAAAATAATGATTTTATTGTTCGTAGCTTTTTTTTTTTTACCATATTAAGAGGAATGCAATTTCTTTTCAGGCTTGCATTGTCAAGTACAAACAATATACTTACGAATCATAAATTGCTCTTCCTGGATGAAATGTTAACTGCAGATTTGCAGGCTGGGGTCCAGCAGCTCTTCTTATTTGTGTCTCGCCATGCGAGTCTGCTTTGGTATTTACATCTCCCAGTGTTTTGTCTTAATTGGCATATTGCTGCTCATGATCCTGTTTTAGTTGTTAAACTTTAAGGTGTCTGTTCAGAGGGTTCTTAACCGCAGGCCAGGGCGCCTGCGCTCGGATGTCAAAGCGTTGTTTATCTTGTATTGTTTCCAGGTCGCAAAGGTTACAGTTTGATGTGTCGTCGCCTAATGGAATCCTGCTCTTCAGGGAAACCAGCAAGATGATAACTACATATGGTAAGACTTGAGTCTGCACAGCTGCACTGAAAGGTACAAATTGCAAAGCCCACAGGAGCTTCAACGTACACCACTGATGCCGAGGACAAGAATTCCTTTGGTTTGTTTTCTGTGTGATGCTGCCTCAGCAATGTTAGTTACCTGCAGAGGCTCACTGATTATTGATTAGTTAATCCAATGGATTGTGGTTCTGTCCTGAACACAGCACAGCCAGCCTCTCTTGATGCAAAGCCTTGTGGCAGCAGCTGTAGTTCTAGTCGAATGAAATAAATGTTCCTGTGTAGTAAGGTCTCCTGCTTTTTACCCCAACCTGCTGACAATGTCTGTAATGTGATATTCAATGCACTAAGCTGAGCAGACAGCCCCTATCCTCTTCCAGGCTCCCAGACATCCTCTTTCTGCTCACATACAGGAGGAGAGGGGAAGAGGGATTTTAAATTTAGCAGCCATCTGCTGAAGTGAGGCTCAGCAATAGCCAGTGCTTCTTGGAAGTGCCAGTCCCGCAGGGTCCTCGGCTGGATCCAAGAGTCAAAAAAGGAAATGACAAAGACTGTCCACAATTAACAACGTGCTGTCCAACAGACATCAGTCAGAAAAGGGATGCACACTCTCAAGTCCTTTACAGCTTAGCGTACACTGCTGTTGTTGAATACACATTTGTTCGTGCACTCTTCCAGGACAGTACCTGTCCGCTAGCCTTGCAATCTGGCTGCGAAGGTGTCAGACAGTCCCATTCCCCCTTGAAGGGAGGAGGCTGAGATCAAGCGCTTCCCCTGGTTGTCGGGTACAACGTGACTGCTCCTCCGTTTCACTCAAGTTTTCCTTCCTGTTCTTTTTTATTTCTGTCTCAGGCAATCGTATCCTAACACTAGGGGAGGTCCCGAAGGATCAAGTCTATGCACTAAAACTCAAAGGAATCTCGATCTGCTTCTCCATGCTGAAAGCCGTGCTCAGTGGCAACTACGTGAACTTCGGCGTGTTCCGCCTGTACGGGGACGATGCGCTAGACAACGCCTTACAGACCTTCATCAAGCTCCTGCTCTCCATCCCCCACAGCGACCTGCTGGTGAGTGTCTCTTTCACCAGCAGGGGGCACCAGCGGGCTCTCCTAGCTCCCATCCCCATCATAGCGATGTGTTCTAACAGTGCAACACAAAGACAGAACCCAGCGCCAGATCACTCCACATCTCTCTGAATTCATCACTCCAGTGCTTATGTCCCAGCAAGGTGTACAAGCCTTTGAGTTGACAGTTTGGGGATCTTTACCTAACTTGAGGAGCTTACAGAATGCAAAGCCTTCTTTGCATTGCAGGGTCCAGAGCCTTCAGGTGGTGTGCATCTCTGTAGAGCTCCACTGCAGTGAATCTTAAAAATACTTTTTGTGTTTTTGTCTTGCACTGAAAACATTTTTTATTGTTTTGCTTTGCGACAGCAAGAGGGCTCTTGAGCCGTTTTTAAATTGTTAGCAGTTCTGTGCAGATCTCTAGGATGCCACGTCAGAAATAACACTATGTGAGCAATCCGGTTGTGTTGTAAGTCAGGGGCTCCTTATCCTGGTCCTAGAGGGCCCCACGCACACCCGCTGATGTTAATTCCAGCCGAGCTTCATTTCCCAGCTGAAGGCTTCATTGAACAGATGAGCTGCTCGAGCGGAACATCTGCAAGTGTGTTTTTCTACTCGAGAGGTTAGGGGAAAGTTTCCCGTCCTTATAAAAAGCAGTCGATAAAAAGGGCTGAGCTGAAAACAATCAAACCGATCAGTCCTGTTATTAAGACGGTTGAGGATTCAGTTGTGTAACGGAGGTGGGCTGGAACAAAACTGAGCAGGGCTGTGCTTAGTGACGGCAAGCCAAACTCCCTGGTCCCTGGGAAAATGTTCACATGTGATGGAAGTCCTCCTGTTCCCCAGTCTGTGTCAGCAGTCTGGCCAGTGCTTGGAGTGTGAAGCCCCCTTTTTTTTCTCTGTGTCCTGCAGGATTATCCTAAACTCAGCCAGTCATATTACTCGTTGTTGGAAGTGCTAACCCAAGACCACATGAACTTCATCGCCAGCTTGGAGCCTCACGTCATCATGTACATTCTGTCTTCTATCTCTGAAGGACTCACAGCGCTTGGTAAATGCATTCATTTGTGTTGTTTATGCAAACGGCACAGGTCTCACTGGATATCAATACAAACGTGTTTTACTAAGGACACATAGTATACATTTTCTTGGGCTCTTCCATTTACATAGTCATTCTTCAATTGGGTTTTACAGACAAAGTTATACTACAGTATGTAGTCTTGATACAGACAAACCGATCATGTATACTTTCACGTGTAAAAGCGAGTAAAAGTAAAACTGCTTGCAGTGTTGAACGCCATCATATGCCAGCAGATTCCTTTAAGTCAGAAACTGAATTATGCTGATAATAGGTGTTGATTGGAAAAAGATGTGTATCATTTGTATTCCAGCAGTGATGGGTCTGAATTATTTTGCACGGCACTGTATTTCAGTACCTGTAATACAGCTGGGTTTTCTGAAGCAAGACCTCTTGCTGAAGTGCTCTACACTCTACATAAGGGCCCTAGCTTCCCCAGCGAGCAGGTTTTTGTGCCTCGGCCTCCTCCGAGCACCGCTGGGGAAGGTCGGGCTCCGCCCCCTCACTCCCTGTGCTCTCTCCTCAGACACGATGGTGTGCACGGGCTGCTGCTCCAGCCTGGATCACATCGTGACCTACCTGTTCAAGCAGCTGTCCCGCAGCACCAAGAAGAGGTCCACCCCCATGGTGCAGGAGAGCGACCGCTTCCTTCACATCATGCAGCAGCACCCCGAAATGATACAGCAGGTGAGCGCTGACGGGGGGGGCCCGGGTTTCTGAGCTCCTCGAAGTAAGTATTGGGATCCCCCAAACTCAGATATTGCTGAATCGTCAATCATGTCTCTTTGATAAACCCAGGACCGAACGAGAAATAGCCCTTCAATTTTTAAAGCAGCTGGAAGGATGATTTGGATAAGTCCGTAATGTTTATTTCTAAGCCGTGACCATGCGCATAGCCTGTGATCTGTGTTTTTTGCTAAGTAACTTTTCTATTGCTATTGCTATCTCAATATCTCAGGAGAGCACGGGTTTTATAGAACCTCTGGTAAACGTAATAACTTGGTTACTTTCACATTGTGTGATATATATATATAACTTATAGCAATATGTGTAGATGTGCAGCATTGGAAAATTAGCTTGATATTTAATCAAGACAAACTATTACGTATCGGTTGCCTTGGAGCAGAGGTTTGTTTTAATTATAATAAGAAAAATATTAACGGGGCCTTTCAGATGCTGTCGACTGTGCTCAACATTATCATTTTCGAAGACTGCCGGAACCAGTGGTCCATGTCACGGCCGTTGCTGGGCCTGATTTTGTTAAACGAGAAAGTAAGTCGGCCTCGATTTTCCCAGAATCGTTTTTTCACATTTTGAAGCCTGGTACCAGCTACTAATTGTACCAGCCCCCCCCCGTGTGACCACCATTATTTGTTGTGATCGAGTTTTTAACATCATGCCGTCAAAGGTCCACATTCACGCACACGGTTCTTGCTGAAGCCTCTGGCTCTACAGAAATGGAAAGATACTGTTCAAATTGTTCAGAAGTCTTCCCCTTCCATGGGGCAAAAATATCCGAGCCTAAAGGAGACTGTGGGGAAAAGCCAGCGCCATTAGCGGCCTAATGAGTGTTCGGTTCAATATGTGAAAGAGAAGCAAAGCGTCCATCTGAGATATTTGTAGTTATTTTTTATCCCCTCCCTCATTTGTGTTCACCATTTCAGATTTAGTTCACACTTCAGGTGCTGGGAATCGGCTCCTGTGCAGTCTTTGTGCCCCGTGTTTCTTCAACGGGGAGTGAAGTCTCATGGCTTTGAGGGAACAGCAGTGTAATTTGCTACATAATTGCGCTCTTTGTAATGAAGAGCGTAGCTGGCTCCTGAGCCCGCAGAACACATCTCCAGGCTTGACACGGTAGACCTGCCTATAATTAAGAAGGGGGAGACATGAGACGCGTCATATACTAACCCATTTTTCTGTGTGTGCGCATTGTGTGTTTTTTCTCAGTATTTTGCTGACTTGAGAAACAGCATAGTCAACAGCCAGCCTCCCGAAAAGCAGCAAGCCATGCACTTGTGTTTTGAAAATCTAATGGAAGGCATTGAACGCAACTTACTCACAAAAAACCGAGACAGGTGTGTACAATCTTGCACTATTGACCTACCGCTGAAGAATGCCATTTTCTTTGCTGTTACACAGAGCTTTTAAAGAGGAATTATTTGCACGGCTTTCATAGCCAGATAATCGTTGGGCATTGCCTTACCTGCACACTTTTATTTTAAGCATTAATATTTTATGTACTGCCGAGTTTCAGTCAATATCTTCATCTGTTTGGAAGTGTTTTTGTGTGGTGCTCTGTGTTACATAGAATAGCTGATCCAGGTGTTATAAGGGAAAGGATTTGTTGCCAGGCGGTTCCTGCATAAAACTCCAGCTCTGCCTTTCATCTTGCACTACAGTAGCAGGCTAGTTGTTCATAGTTCACCACATAGTGAGGGGTTTGATTCCCGACGAGCACCATTTGTGTGGAGTTTGCATGTTCTCCCCATCTGCATGCAGGTTTTGCCCAGGTGGCCATCGTTTCCCTCCACCTCCCAAATGCAAGTTGGTTTGGTCTGATGGCTGTTCTAAATTTGCCCCACTGCTGTGGCCATACAATGGAATACCGATGGGTATTGCCACCAGGCAGGGAGCAGAGTTCTCAGTCTCATCTTTAACCCTTTGCTTCTGGGTTAGACTTGCAGTGGCCTAACCCTCTCCTGGATGAGTAGCTCACTGACTATTGGACCCTGCATTCGTTTCTTGAAGATATAAGCACCTAAAGTTCCAGCTTATACTGTTAAACCTTAGGCTAAGCTCTTGTTGGTTTCATGTGTTGGAGTAACTAGAAGTAACATCCTTCAGTGTTGTAGATCTGGTACTCAACACGGTACCCTAAAAGCCGCCACAGACATGTTTGTAGTGAAAGAGCTTTGCATGCTGGTCATTGTTATTGAGCTCAGAAGCGACGGAAATTTCACGTGCACACCTCTGCAGGCCGTGTGTGATATTGAGATGAGAAGATTGATTATCTGTGCTTCAAGCACAAAGCCTCGTCACACTCAAGGAGCTCCCGATTTGAATTAGATTTGCACTCTGTCCTAGAGACACAGAAGCAATGTTCCAGAGGTGTTACTAACCTCCAGGCGTGTGCAGGCGTGTCCAGGTGCATGCAGGCCTGTCCAGGCACGTGCAGGCTTGTGCAGGCGTGTTCAGGCACGTGCAGGCTTGTGCAGGCGTGTTCAGGCCTCACAGTCGGCTTTCCTCCTACTCCTCGCCCCGCCAGGTTTACGCAGAACCTCTCTGTCTTCCGGCGGGAGGTGAACGACTCCATGAAGAACTCCACGTACGGCGTCAACAGCAACGACATGATGAGCTGACATTCCGGCGAGGCCCCGCGAGCGCCGCCGCCCCTGCGCCCCCTCGGCCCGGCTGCCGCGGGAGGGGCGCGCCTCTGGAGAGCGCGTTTCTGACCGGGCCTCAGCCTCCTCCCCCGCCCTTCCTCCGCGCTCCCTCACTGCTCCTCCTCTTCCTCCTCCCCCCCTCCTCCTGTCCCTCCCTGCTCCTCCTCTTCCTCCTCCCCCCCTCCTCTTGTCCCTCCCTGCCCCTCCTCTTCCTCCTCCTGTCCCTCCCTGCTCCTCCTCTTCCTCCTCCCCCCCTCCTCTTGTCCCTCCCTGCTCCTCCTCTTCCTTCTCCTGTCCCTCCCCCCCTCCTCCTGTCCCTCCCTGCTCCTCCTCTTCCTCCACCCTCCTTCCCTGCTCCGCCCCCTCTCTCCCTGCCTCCTCCTGTCCCTCCCTGCTCCTCCTCTTCCTCCACCCTCCTT